ACCCGCCGGCGAAGTCCCCAGGCTCCGGCCTGTCTGAGGGGGGTGGGGGGCTGCAGTAGAGGAGTCTGTCCAGGGCGCCGGCGGCAGGGGGGTGCCCGTTGAGGAGTAGCGCCTGCCGCACCAGGGCCGCCATCTCCTCGTGCCTCTCGCTCTCCCAGTCGGCGGGCGCCTCCTGCTGGCAGCCGGTGGCGCCAGGCTCAGGGCCCAGGTCCTGGCCACCGCTGCTGTGGGCCCGGCACTTGAGGCGCAGCTTGTGGGGCAGGGCGGCCAGCTTGACGTCCGGGGCGGGCGGGTAGGGGGCAGGCGGGCACCCCCAGCCGGGCTCCTCCCCACTCTCCTCGCTGGAGTAACCCGCGAAGGGGGAACTCGGCTCGACCACCATCTCCATGGGCTCCGGCCTGGCCTCCCGCGCCTCCTCCTCCGCAAGGAAGCCAGCAGGGGCGCCGTAGCCCTCAGCCCGTGGGCAGCCATACGCCTCTGGGGGGGCCCTGTAGCTCCCCCTGCTGGCAATAGGCCTCACAGTCGCCATGGCGACCCCCGGGAATCTGCTGGGCATAGCTCCCCAGGGCCTTCTCCTCTTCTTCGTCCTCCGCCCCGTCCCCCCGCCCCGGCGCCTCCCAGGCTCGGGGCGGCTCCACCGTGGTGAAGCCGTTGGCGCTGAAGAGGATGACGCCCCGGGAGGCCGGGGCCTGGGGGTCGGGGGGACGCAGCGCCACGTCGTCCCCCCGGGCCCTGCTCACGGCCTCCGCCTCCCCCGGCGTCCGCGGCAGCGGGCTGTCCCGGGAGGAGCCGTCGGACATGTCGGAGAGGGAGCCCCGCGGCGAGTATTTGGCCCCGGCGGCGTCCCGGCCGGACTGCTCCGTCTCGGACGAGTCCTCCGAGTGCGGGGCCCGGGAGGAGGCGCTGGAGTAGCCGCTGCTGGCGGCGCTGAGCTGCTGGCTCCTCTCCACGAAGGCGGCGGTGCTGATGAGCCCGAAGCGCAGTTTGAGCTGGAGCAGCTCCGTCTTGAGGCGCAGGTTCTCCTCGTTGAGCGCCAGCACCCGGCTCTCCAGCACCAGGTCGTTGAAGCGCCGTTTCTCCCGCGAGCGCTTGGCCGCCTCGTTGTTCTTCCGGCGCTTCTCCCAGTAGCTGGCGTCCTTCTTCTCGTCCGAGATGAACTCCCGCTTGCGCCGGCAGCTGGTGCTGGCTTTGCCCTTCAGCGCCCGGGCCCGCTGCATCACGCCCTCCGGGGGGGGCCCCCGGCCACGCACTGGCCAGGCGAGCTGAGACCCTCCATCACGGGGCCAGAAATAGAACCCAGGTCACCCCGGCTCTGACCCTCGATATTCCTCAGAGAGCCCAGGACGGTCGCCGGGGAAGGGTCGGGATGTCGAGGTTAGAGATGGCTCAAGAACTCACCCGCGGGTCTCTGCCACGGGGATAACGCGCCCCAGATCTCTGCCACGGGGATATGGGTCCACAGACGTCTGCCACCAGGACACTGCGCCCTAGATCTCTGCCACGGGGATAACGTGCCCCAGATCTCTGCCACGGGGATATGGGTCCACAGACGTCTGCCACCAGGACACTGCGCCCTAGATCTCTGCCACGGGGATAATGCCCCCCAGAACTCTGCCACTGGAACGGACGATTCTCGCTAGGTCCTCAGCCCAAACAGTTAACGAGCCCGGTAACCGGGCAAGCTACTGCCGTGAGTGGCCCTCCAGCTGCGACCAACAAGCCGCGATGGGCACCCTCGGGCGCCGGCGGGTACATTGGGCACCTGTGGATCATCTTCCGGGCGCCTGGAGGAGCTGCCGTTCCGCTAGGAGCTGTGGGATTCCGGCGGGTGCCTCAGGCTCGGCTGGGTCCGTTCCGTGCCTGCCGGGCGCGCCAGGAAGCTCTGGCACCCGTGTCCCGCTCCGGGAGGCTGGCTGCGGAGACGTGGCTGGGCTGCGGGCGCTGCGGGATGTGAGGCGGGCGGGGGGCGGGAGCCGTGTCAGGTCCGGGAAGAGGAGGAGAGAACACCTAGGAGGAAGGACACGGAGGGTGGTTGGACCGGGGCCCAGCACGTCACACCCCTCTCTGCCGCTTACATAAGCCACAGGCAAGCAGGTCTGGGCAGGGCGGGAGAAGCCTCGGGCCCAGCGGGCAGCATGCCCCACATTCCGCCCCGCTACGGCGACGCGTGTGCCCCGGCCTGCCGGGTACCAGGGCTGCCCCGGCTACACACCGCGCACCACACACACACCACACAGCTACAGACACCAAACACACACTACACACCGCGCACCAGGCACACACCACATAGCTATAGACACCACACACACACTACACACCGCGTACCAGGCACACACACACCACACAGCTATAGACACCACATAGCAACAGACACCAAACACACACTACACACCGCGCACCAGGCACACACACACCACACAGCTATAGACACCACACACACACTGCACACCGTGCACCAGGCACACACACTACACATACACACTACACCGCTACACACTGCACACACTACACACCACACACCATACTACACACCACACAGCTACACACTGCACCATCACCACACACCACACAGATACACACAACACACACTACACAGCTACACACCACGTACACACACACTACACACCGTGCACACATTATACACCGCGTGCGCACACATTACACACCACACAGCTACACACCGTGCACACACACTACACCCTGCACACCACACACACACACACTGCACACCACACAGCTACACATTGCACACCGTACACACACATACTGCACACCTCACCACACAGCTACACACCGTAGTCTGTAGTGTGTGTGTGGGGTGTGCACGATGTGTTTGCAGTGTGTAGTGTGTGTGTGTGGTGTGCACTGTGTGTGTATGCAGTGTTTGTGCATGGTGTATAGTGTGTGTTTGTGTAGACACACACTATACACCATGCACACACACTACACACTGCATACATACACAGTGCATACCACACACACATACTACAGACACTACACACCATACACACATCACACGCTGCACACATACACCATGCACGCACACACTGCACACTACACAATTACACACTGCACCCCAGACACTGCACAATACACACTGAACACCGTGTACATGTCACACATCTGACACCATATTGCACATACACACCAAACACTGCACACTACACAATTACACACTGCACTCCACACAGACCTGACACAAACACTGCCCAACACCCACACTGTACCATACACACGGCACACACTATACAACTACACACAGCACCACACACCCACACTACAGACTGCACACTTACCATTACACACATCCCAGAGACATCACACACACACACATTGCACACCATGCATGCATCACACACTGCACGACACAATTACACCTTGCCCCCCCAGACACCACACACAGCCCAACACACACACTGCACAATACACACCATACAGCTAGCACCACAGTACCCACCAACCATCAGACATGGCACCCCCACCACGCACCCCCACCACGGTACCCCATGCACACAACATCACCCAGTGCAACACACACACACACCACACCCCCACCTTGCCAGCGCCCCTGCTTTGACTGCCAGGGCAGCTGTAGTGTGGCACGTACGGGCAGTGGCACGGCAATCGGCCTGGGCGCGTCCACCCTGGGCAGAGGGGAGCGCAGAAAGCCAGACGAAAAGAGAGAGGCGGCTTCCCACTCTCCTTCCTCCTCCGGCCTGGCTCTTTCCCGGAAGGAGGCCAGTGGGGCTGGAGCGGGGAGGTGGGTTGCATAAGGCAGGACGCCCAGTGGGTCACAAGAGCCCGTTGTGCAACTGACCCAGTCCCGGGGAGGACTATTTCCACGCCCTCGCGCCGAGCCGGGGAGCGTGTGTGGAGCTGCACGCTCGGCCTGGACGCCCCCTCCCGCCCGCGCGAGCTGGGCCGGCAGATGTGAGCACTAGGAATATAGGTCAGTAAACATTGAATATTTATCAGCCCAGGCAGTCAAAACAGGTCCGCTGCTGGCATATTGCACAACGCCGCTGCTAAGGCCTGGGCGCAGCGCCAGCAACCTACTAGCCTAGAAAGAGGTTCTGTGCGAAAGCCAGAGGAACAATGGGGCTACGGGGCTATGGGGCAGGGAGGAGAGGGGGGGATTGGAAGCAGCAAAGGGGCCTGGGCGGCTTAGCTCCGTGCTGCTGGGATCCGATGCCGCCCGGAGAGATGCTCTAAGCAGGAGCTGAGCCAGGAGGGGAGAGAAACGGGGGGTGGAAGCTGTGTCCTGAGAGATCTGGGGTGAGGCCCGAGATCACCAAAGAGGTTTAGGCACTTTTGGGACCAATGGGAGTTAGGTATCTCATGCCCTTGGAAGACCGGGGCCAGATTGTTAAGAGCTTATTTAGGGCCCAGTTTGAAAAAGCGTCTGCCCCTCACCGAGCCGCCAGGTTCCACCATCCAGCCTGCTGCCCCTTAAATCGCTCTGGGCCTCGGTTTCCCCATCTGTAAACGGGGGGATACTCCTCCCTCCTTTACTTGTCATTTATTAGGTGTATTATGGTAGCACCAAGTCATGGAGCAGGGCCCCACAGCGCTAGCTGCTGCAAAAAGAGCGCCAGAGAGTCCCTGCCCCACGGCGTTTACAATCTACATAGACACAGGGGAGCGGAGGAAACTGAGTCAGAGAGAGGCAGGGACACCAGATCACACAGCAGGCCAGTAACAGAGCTGGGAAGAAAACCTAGGTGTCCGGTGCCCTAGCCACGAGCCCTCCCCCCGGTGAGCCCCCCATCCTGCTCCCTGCAGCACAGCACCCCCTACTGACCTGCCTGCACCATGGCATTCTCTGCGGAGTCTCTCCCTGCACTTCCCACCATCTACTCTGTTTTCTTCTCTTTCTAGGTCAAGGCTGCAAGAGAATTTCCACCCAAACAAGCCACCGCCCCTCCCAGGGAGGATCCGCCCCAGGCACTGGCCCCATGTCCTCATGGCACGTGGAGCTGGGCGGGTGTGTACTCCAGGTGAGGGCAAGTCTGGGCATCGCCTGGATGCGCTGGTATGAAGGATGCCACTGACCTACTTCCCAGCTCTGTGTCATTGCCCCGGGCTACTGGGTTACCTAAAGGCAGAGACCAGCGCCCTCCGGCAAAGGTTGGCTCCCAGGGCGTCTGACTGGGCTACTTTGGTCAGTCTGTCTGTCCATTCACCCTTCCTTCCCCACACACCCCATCGTCATCCATCTATCCATCCATCCCCATCCATCCATCCCCATCCCCATACACATCAATCCATCCATCCATCTATCCATCCATCCCCATCCCCATCCATCCATCTATCCATCCCTCCCCATACACATCCATCCGTCCCTCCCCATCCATCCATCCATCCCCATCCACATACACATCAATCCATCCATCCATCTATCCATCCATCCTCATCCCCATCCATCCATCCCCATACACATCCATCCATCCCTCCCCATCCCCATCCATCCATCCCCATGCACATCCATCCATTCATCCCCATCCACATCAATCCATCCCTCCATCCATCCATTCCCATACACATCCATCCATCCATTCCCATACACATCCATCCATCCCTAGCACAATGGGGTCCGGGGTGCTACCGTAATACACCTAATACATAATGTGCAGCACCAGCACATGGAGTCCTCGTTCACCGTATTACACCTAATAAACAGCAGTATACCTTTACCAAAATGTAAACAAAAACTGAGGTCCTCGTATGTCACATGACTCCAGGAGCTGGTGCTTTCGAAAAACACACACCATATTTTGGGTGAGCTGGTGACAGGTCCACCTGTCTCCCTACCCCGTCAGGTCCCTTCTCGGTGCCTATCCGTGCCCCCAGGTACCTCTCAGGAGGTTACCTGAGTGCAGTCCACCCACCCACCGCTGTGTTCTGCTCAGGCTCGGCCCTCGGAGCGGCTCTGCCCTACTAACCCACTAAACCAGAGCCGAGGCAGCAACTCAACATCCGCATTGGCCAACCGGGGTGTTCCCACGGGGTGTTACATCACCCGCGCTGTAGAAGGCGAGGGAGCGCATCAGGAATGGGGCGGATCTCCGCTTGCCAAGGCCCCAGCCGCAGGTTTGAGGAGGAACTATTCACAGCCCGGGTCTGACTCCGGAGTGACTCTCCCGAGGTCAAGGAGGGCGAGTCACAGGAGAATCAGATCCCAGGCGAGGGGAGACGTGTGTTGTCACAGCAACTGCCCTCCCAGGATCAAACCAGCCCTCTCCAGAGCTAGGAGCCCACGCGGCCACAGCTGAGCGACACCCCAATGCCTGCTACAGGGACCCTGCCGTGTGTGTGTGTGTGAGATTGCAGAGGTGTTAGGGGATGTCAAACCCACACACAGAGACCCCAGCGTGGGGACCTAAAGGCAACAGCGCCGGGCTGGCAGGGGACAAGCAGAGCTGTGAAACTGACTGTGTGCAGAGGGGGCGGCGAGGGGAAAAAGCCCCCTGCGAACCCCTCCCCAGCCTGCTGCTAACAAAGGAGGGGCTTTTTTAGTACACGGGGACAGATCCTCAGCTGGTGTAACGCAACCTAGGCACACAGGAGTCCTGATTCCCAAACCACCTGTGCTCTAACCACTAGGCCCCACTCCCCTCCCCGGGAACAGAACCCACAGGTCCTGGCTCCCAGCTCCCCGCTCTAACCACTAGACCTCACTCCCCTCCACAAGCTGGGAACAGAACCCAGGTGTCCTGGCCCCCAGCTCTAACCACTAGACCCCATTCCCCTCCCAGAGATGGGGATAGAAGCCAGGAGTCCGGATTCCCAGCCACACCCCACCCTCTGGACTCAGGGAAGCTCTGGGCATCCCAACTTGGCCAGGATCCTTCTCCAGGGTCCGTGTCCCCCCCGCCACAGGGACCTTGCACCTCCCCAGCTCTGGGACCCCTGGGCGAGTCCCTTGAGGAGACCAGGCCGTGGCTGGATCCATCCAGTCACCCGGGATTCAATCCTGCCTGCCAGCCCACGGCTGGGCCCAGGTCTCGCAGCCCCGGCCCCCAGGAGCACAGCCCTCTCCCCTGGGGCTCCCAGCACCTCATGGTGTAACTTTATATAAGGCCCCACTCGCTTGCCAAGCAGGAATGCGCCGACCCTGGCGGGGCTGGAGCAGAGCCATCGCTTCCCATGGCACCATCCCCCTGGTTGGCGAGGCCTCCGGGCCAGCCCTGGCACCTCACCCCTCGCCAAGACCTGGACCCAGCCGAGCAACAGGCCAATACAGCCTATATCTGCCCGACCCTCCCTGTGCCTGGGATCAGGATCGGGCTCCATCTAGCCCCCCCCCCCCGCCCTAACCCACCAGGCCCCACTCCTCCCACAGCCAGGGAGAGAACCCAGGAGTCCTGGCTCCCAGGCCCCCGCTCTAACCACCAGTCTCCACTGCTCTCCCAGAGCCAGCAGTCCTAGGTCACCTTCCCAGCCATGAAACACTCTGAATAATTCCAACCCTGGCCTCGGCCTCAGGGCCTCCCCGCCCGCCCTGCGCTCTTATCAGCCCCACGCCCCGCCTGTCCCCTGCTCTGGGGACAGCACAGAGCGCGCCACACGTCCCGGCTGGGATCCCTCCACCCTATGCTCCATGACGGGGGGAGGGGGGGCGGTGCAGGGCGTTCGTCCCATGAGACAATGAGGGGGGGAAGCCTTCAGTGCTAGCTTTATGGGAGCCAGGACTCCTGGGTTCCGTTCCTAGCTCAGGGAGGGGAATGGGGTCGAGTGGTTAGAGCCGGGGGCTGGGAGTTAGGACTCCTGGGTTCTGTTTCAGCTTGAGGGAGGGCAGAAGTGGGGTCTGCTGCTTAAAGCAGGAGAGGACAGGGGGGTCAGGACTCCTGGGTTCCGTTCCCAGCTCCGGGAAGGCAGTGGGGTCAAGTGGTTAGAGTGGGGGTGGGCGTGGGTTGCCTACAGGCCTCAGGAAGAGGATATCCAATTTACCTGCCCAGATACCACGGTGATGGGCGCTCCCTAGGACCACAGGAAGATCAGACTCAGTCCTGGCCTTTGAGCCGAGCTGAACCGGTGGTGGGGAGTTGATCTTCCCCTAACCAGCTACGGGGAGACTCTTCCCAACCCCACCTCCCCCTCCGCAGCATCTGGCGCACGGAGACGATGCCCGAGCTAAAGCTGGGATCCCTGCACGGCCCGTGGGACCCATTGCTATAAATCTGGGGCCCCCATGGGTGTACAGGCCCATGCCCCCGTCCCATACACAGCCCGGTGGCAGCCTGGGGCTCCCCCCTCACCTTGGTGGAGTACAAGCCCAGCTGGCTAATGTAACGCCATCGTACGCTAGCCAGGATCGGGGCCGCTCAGCCCAGCCAGGTGGGGAGAGTTGAGGTGGGTCGCTCCCGCACTGGGAATCAGCAGCTCTTTGGTTTGACTCTGGGATGGGAGAGGAGGAAGGAGCAGGACTGGGGGGCAGATTGGACCCCCCTCATCTCCCTCTGCTGCTGCATCAGACCTTGCCCCTATGCCCACCCCCAACACAACAGAGCCCCTGGCTCCATCTACCCCACAGCCCTGCCCCTCACTACCCCATCCACCCCCGCTAGCTGGGATCGGAGCAGGGAGAGAAAGGGTGTGTACTGGGGGATGTCTGTGTGTGTGTAGATGGGGTGTGAGGGGGTGTTTGAACTGGGGAATGTCTGTGTGTGTGTAGATGGGGTGTGTGTGTACTGGGGGATATCTGTGTGCGTGTAGATGGGGTGTGAGGGTGTGTTTGTACTGGGGAATGTCTGTGTGTGTGTAGATGGGGGTGTGAGGGGGTGTTT